TCCGCGCCTTCAAGAAGGCCTTTCTTAGCCGCGGCCTAAAATGAAGCAAGAGCTAGACCAGACCAAGCCAGCGCCTGCAGCAAGCACCACTGCACAGCGCACGGCGGACAACAAAGACACCCACATGACTTCACCAACATCTACACAGCACGGGCAGCACCGCACGAGCACCTGCCTCCAAGCGGCAGCGCCTCACCGCCGACGCCACCGCCACCGGCAGCGGCGCGCCCACCGGCGACGCATCCGACGCCACGGAGGACGCGGCCTGAGGCGGCAACTGGCAGCACCCAGAGACTGCGGCAGAAGCTGCGGCATGGGCTCAAGCTGTGAGGGCACAGCTTTCAGATGAGGGGGAGGATTGCAGCAGCGGCAGCAGCAGGCGGCGCCCTGCTGTGCCAGCTGCGAGACAGCAACTGAGTCTTACACTCTCGCTACTTCATTCTACTCACAACTGCATGATTGATTGCGCTTATCATGCCTTGATCGATCGACTAGTCACCAGCCATGCCTGGCTGGCAGCACTACAGCACTACCTTTGTGCGACTATATAACCGGAATGCGGGTCATTCCGGGGCCTTTCTCTCTTCTTTGTAACTGACTTGACTTGACTGGCCGCAGCCGGGCTCCGGCTGCTACTAGACTTCGACTAGACCCGCTGCCTGCTCTTACAGGGCTGGCCAAACGGCTGTGCCTATCTTCAGTGTCGTTCTCTCACTTTTATATTACTGTCCTCTCTATATCATAGGGGCTAATCTCTTGCACAAACAGGACGACTATCAAAGATATGGCTCTATCGTGCAAAAGGAGGCATTGCTGCACTTGGAGCTGTTCCTTTGCTGGGATTTTTTATCCATCACCAACCCAAAATTGTGGAGGAAGCGCCAGCAGAAGCTTAAGCATAACCCTGCAGCAGCAGGCGCAAAATGGCAGCCTTTGAGGGACTACATTGACAGCCACGAGAACTGGAAGACATCAAACCAGCGCACAGTATGTGCGTCTCGCTTGTTGTTCATATTTCTGTCCCTGTTGGGCCCACCTAGCATCTTTTGTGTCTCTCCGAAGTATTTACCCATGACAGAGCCACCAGCCACTGGCAATGGTCCACCAGCAAAATCTTGCACAATTTGCCAGAATGTTCAAATGAAATGGAAGAAAAGTGTCTAAATGTTATGTATCAATGTATTGGAAGGTCAAAAGAAGCTCTCAACAGACAAACTCTGATGGTACCCACGTGGTATAACGACCACCATTCCCCTTACGGCCACCACCGGCGGGAGGCTGCCGCCCCTGCCGCCGCCGCTGCCGCCGCCGCTCCTGCCGGCCCTTCCACTGCCGCCGCCCGCGCTGCTGCCGCCGCCGCCGCCTGCTCCTCCTGCTGCTGTCGCCGCCGCGCCAGGTGGCTGAACACCTTGGGCCGCAGGTCTTCTCGCAAAAAGGGGTTCACGGGCGGCTCCAGCAGGCCGTTGGGGCGGAAATGGCTGGCCCCCTCATCTAACTTGAACGCCATCCACATCCCACTGCATAAGCTGCCGCGGGGCCGCCGGGTGTTAGGCAGCGGCAAGCTCTCAAGCTCTATGCGGCCCGCAGGCAGAAAGAAAGAGCATCACTGAAATGGAGCAGCACCGGCCAGCCACAAGCTACAGGTTGGCTCAGCAGGCGGCCAACCAGCCTGCGAGGCAGGCAGCAGCGCTCACGTGATGACGAGAGGGACAAAGAGCACCGCGGCCACAACGCCATTACTCCACTTGGCCTGGCTGCCGCCGGGCGCCCACGCTGCAATGCACAAAGCAGGCCAGAGGCAGACATGCAGTCGCACTCAGCAAAGGCAATGCCGGCTCAGACGCGAGCGCCCTGCGCTTTCTTTACGAGCACAAACCAGGCAGCACGACACACGCGCACCTGAGCGGAACCCAGCGCCGTATGGCGACCCGCGCGCTGCTGCCGCCGACGCCGCCGTGAAATCGGCGTAAGCTGCCAGGTTGGAGCCGCCTGCAGGGCAGGGCAGCGGCCAGGCAGCAGCAGCAAGCAGTCACCGTGCCTGCCCTGGCGTGCGAGGCTTAGATGCGGCACCGCCCAGCCTGCGGCCTGGCACGCCTCCCCAGCTGCACGCTACACGGCGTGGCCGCAAAGCTCACGGGAGGCCAGGGTTCGGTAGGCGCTGCTGATCTCTTTAAAGTAGTGCTCCGCCTGCCCCCTCAGGTGCTCTGGCTGTAGGTCCGGGTGGTGCTGCTTGCAGAGGCGCCGCCACTGCTCCTTGATCTGCGCAGGCGAGGCGGCAGTGGGTGGTCGAGGGCAGCAGCGTCGAGGAGGCGGCAGCCCAGGGCGCAGGCAGGGCGGCCGGCGGCGACGGTGTACCTGCGCCGCTCACCTCCTCTTGGCTGGCGCCGCGGCTGACTCCCAACACCATCCACGGATCCGTGGGGGGCTGCTGCATTGCGGGTGTCGGGGCTGGCGGCCACTGGTGCAAACTGCGCAGGTGGCTCGGGCCGGCTCAGAAGAGTAGGGTTGGCGTGTCGGCCGCGAGTCCGGCAGCGCGAGGGAGTCTGGTGTGCCTTCCTGGCCGGCCCGGCCGCCGCCCTTGTAAAGGGGCTGGGAGTCACCACATATCGTGCCGCCGCCCGCCTGGCGCCGCCACTGCGATGCGGGATCTGGCGGCGGCTCCCTGCCTGCCCTGCAGCTGACCCAAGTGCAGTGACAGCAGGCTACATTGTTGGACATACAATTCACAAGGACAGGCGTTGGCGGGAAGACCAGGATGGCGGTGAGGAAGGAAGTACAGGGCTGCGCTAAACGCGAGTCCCAACAAGACCAGGCAAACCACACAAGGCCCGAGGGATGGAACGCCACGATTAGTGCACAATGTTGAAGCAGTTCGGTGAAGCTCACGACGGCGGGCTGCCGCCCGCCACAGAGCACCTGGGTGCTGCGCAGCCGAAAGCTTGGCGGAACACAGGGACACGCTGGCCTGAAGAGACGGGAGGTGTAGGACCAGGGCGGCTGCGGCGCTGGCACCTGGCTGCCCTTCCTGCAGGCCGCGGTTACTCTGCGGTGACCTTGGCGACGGTGAGCCGCGCATACACCCAGCGCGAGCCGTCGGGCAGCACCCAGCTCTGCTCCATGTTGGTGGGGATGTGGATGCCAGCCATCGTGGCCATCTCCTCATGTATGACGGGGCCCTGCGGGGTCAGCCTGCGGGCAGGGGCCGACGCGGGCAGGGACGGAGGACGCGTTGGTGTGCGGCAGAAGGCTCGCTGAGGCACCAGACTCGCTGGCGGGTGCGAGGAGGGGTGCTGCGCTGGTGCAGCCAACCCCCGAACATGCAGCCGGCAGGCGCTGCCGGCACCGCGGCACAGCCGGGCGCCTCGCTGACATCCCACTGCCTTTCTCTCGCCCAAGAAACACATACACCAGCACGCCATCACACTCATCCCTCCCCTGGCCCTGCCTGTCCTCATCTCCGCATCCCTCACCCGAACAGCATGTGGCCGGAGTAGGCGACCCGCCACTCCCCCAACTCGTACCCGCCATTGGACAGGCGGCGCAGGGCGTCGCGCGTCCGCAGGCGCACCACGCGCCCAAACCGGTCAAAGGTGAAGACGGCGCGCACCGTCAGGCCGCCGTACGTCAGCACCGCCTCGGCCTCTGCGGCAGCGAAAGGCAGCGGCGGCACAGGGAGGTCAGCGAAGGCCTTTGTGGGTGGCTGGCAACAGCCCGGCCAGCTCCCAGCTGCCGACTGGGACACAGCTGGTGGTGAGGGGCTTCATCCGCACACCACATCAACATCGCATCCACCCCACGAGCCCTTCTGCCTGCCTGCCACCTGCCCTGCCGCGCTCACCGTTGCTCTCCCCGGGCACCTGCTCCCAACGCAGGAAGCGGCTGGGCACGAGGGCTTGCGGGAAGCAGGCCGCATCTGCAGCAAGAAGAGCAGCAGCGGCGGCAGTTTCAACACTGAATACCGCCAGCTGGTGAGGCCCCCGCCTCCTGCGCCTGTTGCGCGCACAGCTCGCAGCGCCTGTTGCGCAACGCAGCTGCAGCTCGCGCGCAGCACACCTGCCAGCCAGCGCAGGTGCAGAGTTCTGTCCACCTCGCGCCCGGCCGCAGAGGCGGCGGGCACCGAGCCCCACAGGTGCCAGGCACACTCGCCGCTGTTGTCCACAAAGCTGTCGCAGCCTGCGGGGGTGCAGCAGCAGCACAGCGGCACGTGTCGGGCAGCAAGGTGGGGTGGCGGCGGCAGCTGGGGCTGGGGCCAATGCACTCAAGCGTGGGCAGAGGCGCAGGGCAGCAGGTCGGTACATTGGCAGGCTGCGTGGGCCGCCAGCCAAGCCAACCCTCTCAGACAAGCAGAACCGCGCGTCAGACAGTATAGTCTCACCCCTGAGCGTGACGAACGGCGCCAGGCTGGCGGTGGCGCTCCACACAAACGCGGGCTCCAGCGGGCACGCCAGCTGCAGGTGCGGCCCCAGGGGTGGGTCAGGTTGGCCCAGAAACATCACCCTCCACGTGGCGGCAGCAGGCCGGGGATGAGGCGCTGCCTCGGACAGCGGAAGCGCGCAGGGCTGGAGTCGGCAGCGCAGGGACAGGCGGTACCGAGCGTGCCCGCCAAGTCAGCTTGCCTGCGTGGCGGTCGCCTCTTTCCACCCCCCCTTTGGGTCCATCTTCATCTGGCCCAGCTGGGTGAGGGTGAAGAGTTTCCAGGGGCGGTCATCCCGCACCGCACGCTCCAGGAAGGTTTGCACACACCGCGGCACCTCCTCCAGCTGCTGCGGCGGCAGCGCCGCCACCGGCAGCGCGGCATCCGAGTCGTGCTCGGGGATGGATGTGAGCAGAGGCTCCCTCAGAGAGTCGCGGTGCAGGCCTGGGGCCGAAGAGGCGGTGCTGTTGCCGCTGAGCCGCTGGAGGAGGGTAGGCGCCTCGCCGCGCGCGGCCGCTGCCGCCGCGCGCTCGGCCTGCACGTGGAGGGCGGCCTCGCGTTCCGCCTTGTGCGCCGCTGACTTTCTCGAGGAGAAGAAGCACATGCAAGTGGTGAGCAGGCTCGCTAGCAAGCTTCCAACGCTGAACGCCACCAGTAGCATCAAAAACCGGCGCTCCCGTTGCCGGGACAACAAGAAGTGCTGTTGGGAGGGAGAAGGACAGGTGGAGATCGGAGGCCCGGGGGCGAGCTAGTGACCCAGCGCCCGCTGCCGTCGCTGCGCCAGGAGCGCACGGCGTGGTTGGCGGGCAGTAGAGGTGGTGTGGCTATTCAAACTACAGCCTCTTGCACCCACCATAACATTTGCACCACGGCGTCCCTGTCAGGCGGGGCTATGCCACCTGCGCTGGTGGGCTGCTCCCTGCCCCGCTACAGCGCAGGGCAATCCTGTTCAACGCGCACAATGAGACAAGGCTGCGTCAGTCTATCCTGTATGAAAGAACTGAAGAATGATCCAGGGGTGGGCAGTATATCCCCGCACCCAGTCCCCCGCAGGCTTCCCGGCTGCGGTTGGCGGCAGGACAGACCCCCACCCCCATGATGTGGCGGCTCTTCCAAAACCTAAAGCGCCCCCCCGGCTTTTTTAAGGGTTTTTAAGGGTTTTGGGGGGGAGGGATGACGAAGAGGGAACAAAAGGAGGAGAAGTTGCGCGCAGCGCAAGAGAGAGGGGGAAGTTGCAAGGCGCAAGGCGCCGAGCAAGGCCAGAGCACGGCACGGAGCGCACCAGGCGGCCAACCTCTCGCTCAGTGAGCGAGCGGCGGAGCTGCCCTGCACCGGACATGTGCCTGTTTCCATGTGTGGTGCACCGCCGCGCTGGACCGCGTTGCGGTGCTGGCCGTCAACCTTGCTGCCACGCTCTTGCTTTCCACCAGCTTCCCGCTCAGCGGCGCAGACGGGGACGCCGCGCAGCAGGCCCAGCTGCTGGATCAGATGCAAGAGAGCCTGCGCACCGGGCAGCCAGTAGACTTTAGCCCTGCGGAGTGGCGGCTGGTGAGCGGGTCTGGCCTCCCCGGCTACCCGCTGGGCTTCTACGACCATGCGTTGCTGGAGCACGTGCACTGGCAGCTGACCACCTACGGCAGCCTAAGGCGGTTCCTGGAGCACGCCAACAAATGGTGGAAGCGATTCTTGGAGGACCACACCAACAATGGCGGCGGCTGGCAGCAAGAGGAAGCCGCGTGCGACAAGCAAGCCCTCGGCCGTTTCCTCCTGATGACCGACCCCATTGTGCGAGGCGAGATGCAAGGGGATGTGCCCATGCGCAAGCCACGCACGTGCTCAACCTGCAAGCAGCCGCAGCGGGAGGGGTGCAGATGCCCTTCACGGCGTGAGCGCGCGGCATTGGAGTCGGCGGCGGCTGAGGCGGCTGCGGCAGCAGCGGCGGCGGCAGCGGCGGCTGAGGCCACAGTGGCGCCACAGCCGCATGCAGAAGATTGAAATAGAAAAGCAACGTTGAGCGAAAGGAGAGTGGACCAAAAGGAAAGGTATTATTATACATGTGTGGGGAGTAGGGTGGAAGGTGACTGGGACTGTGTGTGGGGGAGGGGGGTGTCGAGCCACAGTCGCTTGCATGCAGCAGCAAAACTGGCGAGGCGGGGGGCAGGCTGTTGGAAGAAGCCTTCTTCACCTGAGGTGTGCAGGCTTGTGTGTGTGGCATCAAACAGGTCAGAGAAGCGCTGTCGGACACTGGCATACAGGGGGCAATGAAAGATAATTTGTGTGGTATGTGCAATGTCATTCTTGCAGTGCGGGCAGCGCCGTTGCTCGCGTGGCAGGCCCAGCCACCGGCCGGTCTCTTCTGCGCGCGCTGCCGCCCGTCCAACGCACCTGACTAATGCAACACCAGCTGCTCCAGGTGTTACAGTCACCCCGCTATGATAGGCCGCGTGAGCAGACCTTGGGCAGGGGGCACACGTGATCAAGGGGCATCAAGAGAGGGGGTGGACCATGGAGCACCCTCTCCATGGCTCCGACCACCCTCCCCCCAGCTGAGCGTCCCAGGGTCACCCCACCCTGGCCCCACTCCCCGTCCTGCCGGACACGCAACCCCCACAACGTGGTGGGGGACGTGGGGATCCTTAGCAGCTTAGGCCTGCCAGGCCGACGGGTGCCGATGCTGGTGCGGGCTCCCGGCGGCAGGCAGCGCCGCCGCCGGGCACTCAAATGGCATGGGGCACATGGGCCCCCATGCCCGCACATCTCCCAGGCACATGAAAATACCAGAAGGCTGCACATGTAAGGGTGCATGCATTGCAGGCAGGAGTGCAAAGTGGCCTGCCGCGGCGGTCGGCTGTGCCATTACTCAGTCAGCCGCCGCTACCGTGCCGGGCTTGGCGTTCCCATGCCAACATGCCGGCGTGCCATCGCGCAAGGGGCCAGTGAGTGTGTGAGGTGGAGGTGGGGGTGGTGGGGCTGCCGCTGACCGCTGCTTGCTGACGCTGACGCTGCTCTTACCTGCGGGGGGAGGGGGGGGGGTCGGGAGCCAAGGCCGGGCAAAAGATGCCTGGGCCCTGCTCAAGGGAACCGGGGGAGTCACTGTGCCAGGGCAGCAGCATGCTCCTCATGGCACCGGTCGGCAAACCGGGCCAGCCGGCCCTGCCTGGCCTGGCCGAGGAAGGCGGCCAGGGAGGGCAAGGCGTGGCCGGGACTGTGGAAGAGCTCAGCATACTCCTCCCTCAGCCCAGCGTATAGGGGGCAGTCATACACTGCGTGGCGTACGTCCTCTAGAGGGGCCTGGCAGTGGGGGCATGGGCGCTGGGTGCGGTCCAGCCGCTGCCACCGGCCTGTCTCCTCAGCCATCCAGTGCGACCCCGTGCGCCACTGCGCCAGGCGCACCCGGCGCCGGCGCTCGGGCACATCGCACAGGAACGACGCAGGCGTGTAGGCCTCCGCAGAGATGCTGCCCCCCCACACGTCCTCAATGTACCGCTGCACCTTGACGGATGCATGCGTGTACGAGGCAACATGGCGCTCCAGGAGCGCTTCCGCCAATTCAGGTATGGCAACCCCCTCGTCAGCAGTCAAGTCGCAGGGGGCGCCGGCCGCCGCGAGAACGCGGCTAACCTGCGCTGCCCAGGGCTGCCGGGCCAGTGGCAGCCCTGTGTCCGTGTCGGCAGCCAGCGCAACGCTATCCAGCATGGCAAGACGGGCGACCCGCTCGCCGC